GCAAGTTTTTATACAGCACCTTTCATACACTGCTGTCATTTAAAGTGCTTTACAAATGAGAAGTTGTTTAAAAAAGTAAACTAAAGGACAACAGAAATTTAAAACATGATTAAAACATGATAAAAACAATAGACTTAAAAGATAAAAGAAACAAATTAGAAATTAAATTAGAATAATTTAAAAAAGTAAAATAATACAAAAAAATAAATTAAAAGTTAAACGTTAGATTAGTGTTGTTAAAGAGGAAAAGGGTCTAGAAACACTAACGGTGTTTTAAACTGCACTGAAAGCTGCTCAGATAGGAACGTTTTGAGCCCTACTCACACACAAACGTAGTATGGATTAAAAATCTGCATAATTTCTCCTCTTGTTTCAGTGATCTACTTCTAGAGGAGAAAGTTTCTGTGACACTAGATTTTAATGTGTAATGAATAAGAGCTCCGGCGCCGAGATGGTGGGGGTTACCTGAGATCTGGATGCTGCTGGTGTCTACTACAAGTCCTCCACTAGTCTGGACACCGGCTACCAACTCGTCCTCCGCTGACTTTGAATCCACAGCATCGTGGAAGAAGAGGTCAAAATTCACAACTACGCTGCCCTGGCTGTGGAGGAGAAAAGGTGGGGTATCAACTTTCTTTACTTGTTAATTAGCATTAATTTAGCTTGTTCATTAGCATCGTAGCTGCAGTTCTAAAACTAAAGAAGCATTTCAGACACCAAACAAGTGTCGGTTGATCAGCTGCCTTTAGAGCACGGGGAGAAACTGTTAATTAGATTTTTTGCCTTCACTTTAAGAGATGTTACACATCAGGCCTTACCTGAACTCGGTCACTCTGCAGCTTCTGAACTGATCTTTGAGGGAACTGCGGCCAAAAGCTTCAGAGATCTGACAAAACAGCAGCCAGAAGAGGAAGGTTTAGACCAGGCGTGTCAAACTGAGTTCCTTCCAGGCCGCAGCTCTGCAGACCTAAGCGTTCTGCCTCATTAAACACTCAGTCAACTCATCAGCTCATCAGCCAGGCTGCTATGAGTGTTAGCAGCAGATCTTGACCATACTGGACCCTGGGCACAAATGTTTGGTGAGCTCCTACAAGGCTACCTTTTTGATGGTCAGGGAATTGTTTACAATATCACAGCAGGTTACAGGAGGGCTGTGCAGCACCATGATGGCAGCACACTGACTGCAGTGTTGGGCAGGTCACCACTTTAAGAACTTTTCTCCAATCGAGACAAAACAATAGGACTATTACGCCCACATTAATGAGAATGCAGGACAGCACAAACCCAATAACCAACGCCACACTCTCTCTCGCTCTTTTGCCAGATGACTCTGGTTCTGCAGACTCTTTATTCCAATGCTTAGAATTCATTAACCACTGGATGTGCCAAAACTTTCTAAAACTTAACGAAGACAAAACAGAGGTCATTTCATTGGGTGTGAAAGAGGAAAGACCAATGCGTGAAATACAGGGGCCTAATTAAGCTCTTGAGCCCCCTGAACGTCTCAAAATCAAAATTCTAGGGGGTCCCTGAAAATGAGCTGATTGTGATGTTCTGCTGTCTGTTAGACAAAAACAGACACTCAAATCCAGATTCAGTGAAGCTGATTGTTTATCTGCTTCACCCACAATCAGCTTCTGTCTCTGATGTTCTTAACTAACTAGAACTGCAGCACTGCTCTGCCTCAGGGTGGCGCTGTAGCAGACTGGTTCACCCAGTTGGTCCTTCATAGTCTAGAAACTGTAACTCTGCCCAGACTCCTCTGAAAAACTTTACAATGTGCCTCAAACTCCGGAGTGTTCCAATTTAAGTTGTGTTGATCCAAGTCCGTTAGCAACACCCTACTAACCATGTGGGGGACCATAGGAACAACCTAGAAACCACCTGGGATACCATAGCAACCACCAACCAACATCCTAGCACCCATGAGGGAACTGCACTGTTCTATTTTAAATATTCAGCTGCAGAAACTGTGTTTAGCCCTTTTCGCTTGTTATTTTACCAGGAGTGCCCAAACTTTTGCATACAACTGTAGATTCCATGAACTTTTATTTTAAAATCATGAATGATGTAATTGCTTGTAGAGTTACTTTAACACTTTATACTGAAAAACATATATATTTTGTTTGTGTGCTCCACATAAAATCTATCAGCGAAATTACAGCGAAACGAAAGTTTAGTTTTGAACTCAGTACGTTTTAAAAATGCACAAATTCCAGGATAAAGTAAAGAGATGATTCACCAGCAGTTCCGAGTCGAAGGCCAGCGCTTTGAACTCCATGCTGCTTTTGTTTCGGAGCTCCTCGGTGAAAACAGCTCCTTCTGAAATGGTCAGACTTCCACTAAGTGTGGAGTTGGGGGTCACTGCTTCATCCTGATTGGCTGAAAAATGAAATTTTAGGATCTGTAAATGTTTCCTAAAGAACTTCTGTACATGTAGGTACAGTTTAAACATGTCAAATTACTCCTCACTGATTTGGATTCCAAGCCAAACCTGCTTTCCACTCACAGGAGGATTCACCAAATGAGGAATTTGATTTGGAAAATGAAATTAAATTTAGTGTTGGTTAAATCTGCCGATCTGAAATCCTGCTGAGCTTCTTCCACATCATGTTCTCCTACAGCAGTAGTTAAAAGGTTTATGGAGAAAATTACTGTCAGAGCTTTTCAGGGGTTATTTTTGTTATGATTGTTTGTTATGATTCACTACCGGCGTATGAAAATAAAGGAAAATGGCTCACATCACACAAATGGGTTATGAATCAGTGAACGTTACTGCGTCACCATTGGCTCTTTGTCGTAAATCTTGCATTTTATGAAGCTGGTCCACTGGGAGAAGAGCAGAGGCTGATTTGAGGTGTGTTATAAGGTTGGAATTGATGTAAATGCAACATCTGTATTGTTTAATTCAAAGTATCTGAGTTGAATATAACTGATTACATTGCTTGGTACCACATGACGAGCGTTTTAAGGCTGAACTGATGAGCCAGTTTGTTCAGTGTAGGCCTCCATACTTGGAGTGAAAAGCAGTAAACATTTAACAAGGAAATAAGTGTTTAATATTAAAGAGAACCCAGACTGTTAAGACATATAGGCCGCAAAATGGTGTCCATGTCCTCTACCATTCAAATATATTGTATAAACCAAGCAAAATACTTATTATTACTAAATTATTATTACTAATACTAAAATATTTATTATTAAAAATAAACAAAACTCTTTCACCAGTGGGCTGCCATTTTTGTTGCCGCATCAATTGGTCGCAGTAAGTTAAATATCTCATTTAACTCTAAAGCCGTGTCCCAATTCTGGGCTGCGTCCTTCGGAGGCTGCATTTGAAGGCCGATTGCGTCACAGTGGCGCGACTAGCCTGTCCCTTTTCAAAGGCTCCTTCATAAGCAGTCGAGAAATGTGTCCTTCTTTTCCATGGAAAATCCAACGGGTGGATCCTTCGCCAGCCAACATAACCTAAAGTTCACTGCGTGACAGTGAGGACTCGAGAACATGGTGGCATCAGCAGAGGAGCGAACGGCGGCTGAGGAGACACTTTAAACATAAGCCAAATATTTAAAAATACAAACGTTAAAAGAAAGCAAATGTGGTCTGAAGCGAAATGTATGCTAATGTTTCGCTTTGTTTTCGAGAGCAAGAGCAGACAGAGAGATGACTGTGGTGGGATCTCCAGCTCTAATAAATGAAAAAATTAAAAACTAAAATCAGTTTCTGGCTCCATCTTTAAAGAATTTTAAAAGAAAACGGAGCGGCGTTTTGTGATGCAGGCAGGAACACCAGTGCTGTGATACAAACAGGAAATCCCCCATAGAGCAGACTGTCTCATTTCGGTTCATTTCAAAGAACACGGCCTACGAAGGCATGTCCTTTGAAGACTGCTTAGACCACGTGCTTCGAACGATGCAGCCCCTGAATCGGGACACAGTTTGTTATATCATTCGGCCTTTCCAACTTTAGCTAGAGGCTGACATTACTCAGGAGAAGCACTACACTCCACTACAACCAAAGTCAAAATCAGGTTTATTTATATGGCGCTTTTTACAGCAGGTGCTGTCACAAAGCAGCTGTACAGATAATTCAGGCTCCATGAGTGTCGCCAAGAAAAGCTCCCTAAGAGCAAGAGGAGTAAACCTCGAGAGAAACCAAGACTCAACAGGGGAACCCATCCTCCTGTGGACCACACTGGATAGCAAAACAATAACACAAGAGTAAAATGAACAGAGTTTATGACTAATATTATAATTAACTCTATTGATTAAAACATTGAATATAGAGGAAAGGAAAAACGAACCAGCCGGTCACTGGGTGGACGGAAGTATTGAGATTATCCAGTGATGATCGATGACTACTAGAGGCCTATCAGAGTAAAACCATATGACATCATCACAGTGACAGTGGTGGAGGAATTTTGCCTGTTTGTCATGTATTTTTACAATAAAAAACATTCCCATATGGATTATATGGCATATTTTAATAGTACTGGACATGGCCACTGTTTTAAGGCCTACAAGTTCCCTTTAAGAACCGAACAGGTACAGTGTCCAGTCGCTGTATGACGGAACAGAGAGCGAATGCAATCACAAAGATAAGCAGGATAAAAACACAATGAATGGCAGATACACTCGGAATAAATCAGTGTGGTGAAAGAATAAACAAACAAGTTCTTACCGGGATGGAGAGCCAGCCAGGAGACGACGATCAGGCCAATACATACAACCAACAGCAGAGCGGCCGTGGTGGTCAGGAACACCTCAAACGAAGACCAGCCGCTCTTCCGTCTGCACATTTTCACTCAGCTCTTCAGTGTTTCAGTAATATTGGAGATTAGTTTAAACTCTACAGCAGTGTACGTGATAACCTGCCCTACTGAAGCAGTTTCTCACAGCCGAGCGCTTCCTTCTCACGGCAGATTTAAGGAGCGTCAGTTTACTTCAGCGTCTCTGTTTATCTGTCCGAATGATGGCCGTAAATTTTTATTATTCCACCCCCAATAATAACCAGAGATTAATGAGTAACTGAGTGCTGTTGGTAATCAGTGAAGGGAAAGTGGCGCCGCTGAAGGGGACGAGTGGGAGCAGATCAAGGTTTTTGGACGCCGAAGACGAATTCAAGGACATCAATGACATGAATGAGACAATTCATGTGAAAATTTCCTTCTAAATTTACAAATTTCAAATTTTCTTTCCCAGCTGGGAGAATTGTGTTCATTAGAGGCTCATTTAAAGAAAAGTACTGCAATGAACTTTATGTTACCCTATTAAAGATGGTTCTTCAAGGCTTATTTAGTAAAGAAAATGGTTCTTGAATACTCAAAAGAAACCCTTGCATGGTGAAATGGTTCTCCAGACTGATGGAGAATGTGTTGTATATGGTTCTATATCAAATGTTTTGAAAAGGGTTCTGTACAGCACCAGAAAGGTTTCTTCTATTGTTATGATGCTAAGCTTGTAGCAATAGAAAAACCCTTTTTGGTCCTATATAGAACCATATACAACACATTCACCCTGGAGAAAGATGGTTCTTCAAGGGTTCTTTCATAAAGACAATGGTTTTGTATAAAACCATGAACACTCACAGAACCATATGCATGATTTAAGAGTTCTTTACATGGTGAAATGGTTCTTCTGATTGAAGGACAATGTGCTATATAAGGTTCTATGTAGAACCCTTTTGAAAACGGTTCTTCTGTTGTTACAAGAACTCTTTTTGGTGCTAGATAATCATCTACAGCACATTCTCCATCAATCTGAAGAACATTTTTACCATGAAAAAAATCATTTAATCACGCAAAGGGTTCTTTGAGTGTTCATGCTCCTATATAGAACCATTGTCTTTACTAAAGAACCCTTGAAGAACCATCTTTTGTTGAGTGTATGATATTTGGCAATTTGGCTATTTGACTATTTATTATTTTAAGACTGGTTTCAATACATTTCAATATTTTTTCCCATCTATTTAAACAATATTAACTTTATAGGAGAAAAAAATTGAGCAAAACTTCAATGTAATTAAAGGTAAAGAGGTTTTATTTAAACTTTTTTTGGAGCATTTCAGAATTTTTTAGACATTGTAAAGAACAGCTACTGTCTTCAAAGGGTGTAAAAATAATTTTTATTCATTTATTTTATTTATTTATTTTTATTTATTTATTTATTTATTTATTTGGACAGTGTTGATATTCTCGAGTAACTCCACACTGAGACTCTTCTGAACTGTAAATAAACTGATCTAACCTCGAACCCAAACACGACACTGAAATCCTCCCTCAAAGCGTCTTAGATTGACCTTGAACAGTGATTAGTTACCAAGCTGCGGTATCTTATCAGAGCCGAGCCCAGCGGCCTCGCTTCCTTATTACAGAACCCCAAACTCTCCACGGTACGCTCACGCTCAGCACTGCCACTGCCAGTCCTACCATAAAACATTTATCAATCAGAGCGATCGGCCAGGCTGATCGATATTTTATCTGCTTCCATTACAGAGAGTAATGCTCCTCACTAAAACTGTCACTCATTACATGTTGTGTAATGACAGAGAGCTCATCTTATCACCACAGCACTCCATCACACAGCTCAGCCACCGGGACAGACGCAGAGTCGCTCCAGTGAGACCATTTTAAAGTGTCTGCTTTTATTCTGGGAGATTTTTAATTCAACATTAAGAAAAAAGTTTATCAAATGTCATAGAAAGAAAAATTCCCAACATTAAAAATGAATAAGAGAACCAGTGCTATGTTTATTTTATATCATTATTATAGATTCGAATGTAACATCTCAGATTATTAATCGAAACATCCAAATTAAATTAATAAAAAGGCATTATTTTACTGTAACATGATGGGAAACACATAAACAGCCTAATTTACATTCACTTCATACTCACATCTGGGCTAACCAAGTTTATTTGAAGTGAGTCTGAGGCTTAAATTGGTGTAAAAGTTTTGATTTTGTTCATCTAACATTTTTCTATTTACATTTTTACATTTTTATTTATGTTTTTTTTATTATTTTTACTTTGAATTTATTTCAGGTGAAGTGAAAGTAAATTTAATTTTATATGTATTCACGTTCTGCAGTTTCCAGCTCTTTTCCAAATGTATTTACCCTCACGGTTTATAACTAAAAACACATATGTTTGTCCTTCAAATTATAATCTAATTTGCATATATTTTACTGCCATAAATAAATTAAAAGTAAAAATAATAAAAAAATAAATAAAAATTTAAAAATGTAAATAGAAAAATGTTAGATGAACAAAATCAAAACTTTTACTGAGTCTACAATATATATATATATATATATATATATATATATATATATATATATATATATATATATTTCTACTTCTTTTTCATGAGATCACTGTAAGAATATTATAAGACTGCACTGTAAAAGTGTCTCGTCAGATTAACATATAAAAATTACTTCATGTAGTAACAAGAAAATTTACTAGTTTTATAAATAAACACTTTGATTCTTTCATTCAATGTAATTTTTTGAGTTGAATAAAACTATTTTTTTTGCTTGTTACTACATGAAGTATTTGTTTAGGTTGACCTGATGAGTCACTTTGTGTATTTAACTTATTTCAACTTTTTTTTCTATTTCGACTTTTTGCTTAAGTGAAATTACGTCACTATATTGGCAAATAACTGGCTTATTGTAAGAAATATGCTTCAAACAAGGAAAACGATCGGCCTGTGTAGTGAGATCATTTGGTACAGAGTAACACAGAAGTAAAGTAGTGAGTAATGAGATTATTTTTCCGCAAATTATCAGTAAAGCAATCATTACAGTTTGATAGAAACGCTTAGTAAGTTGTGATGTGTTAATTTTGAGTAATTGGACTTCGATACTTTATTAGATTTGCCCTCAAAAAGCCCAGAGACTCACACTGAAGACGCTCCTCCTCATTATGTACTTTTAATCCATTGTAATTTCCTTTTTCATATCAGTCTGTTTAAACAGTTCTGTCAGTTATCTTTAAAATGTATATACAGATCACTTTCCTGAATCAGTTCAAACTGAGCTCACACAGCACAAACATATATATTTAAAAAACAATCAAGTATTCCAGCGATTATTGTCTGATCTATTTAAACTCAAGGCATTGATAGAGTAATTAATATAGAAATATACAAAATCATCATTTATAGGGTTCTTTCTATTGGGTCTGTCACAAACCCTAGCCCCTAAATTTACACTTCAGAAAATAATACTTACATTTTTTTATTTTTTTTTATTTTTTAAAGTGATGTGGAAAGATTAGAATTTAGCATGAGCTTAATTTTACATAATATGCCATTTTAACTGTACTGGACATGTCCACTGTTTTAAGGCCTACAAGTTCCCTTTAAGAAAGAACACAGGTACAGTGTGCAGTCGCTGTAAGACGGTACAGGAACAAATTTTAGATACAATTATGTAATTTTACACAAAAAAACTTTATTCAATAAATGGTGAGCAGTCAGATCCCATCGTTTTGAAATAAAAAAGTAAGTGTCCCACAGTCTGAAAGTCAGTGTGGAACATTAAGAATCAAGTTTTTGAGCTCAAAATGAGCTGAAATTTTCACTGAAACAGTCACGACTGAAACATTTGGTACAGTTTGGTAGAGTTATGATTGTTTTGGTAGAGACAAAATGGAATATTCAATCATTTGCTTAAATAAAATAAACATAATTAAATTGTAGAGTCACTCAAAGCAAAAGGATTTTAGTCTAAAACACAATGAAAAATTATTTAATTTATTTATTTATGAAAAATTAGTTAATTTGACTGGTTGGTGTCAGTAATTTTCCACTGTGTTGGATTGTTATGATGACCCCACTCTGGTTTTACACAGTACTGGGTTCATTTTATCACAATGTTGGGTTGTCATTTCTTCAACTGATCTATAATAATAATAATAATAATAATAATAATAATAATAATAATAATAATTATTATTATTATTATTATTATTATTATTATTATTATTATTATATTTATTGATGCTGTTTGTTTGCTGTTATTGTGTGTTAGTAATGTGTGCTTGACTGCCTTGAAAGGTCCCTACAAATAAAATGCAACTGTAATAATAACAATAATAATGATGAATTTTTGACAAATTATTTTATTGCTTAGAATTTAACAAATACTCTAATTCTTTTAGAGTTAATCAGAACAATAAAAAGATTTGAAACAGACATCAACAGCCTTGAGCCCATTTACAGCAACAGAACACTGAGAATTCCCAGTTTTAAGCTCCAAGACAGAGAGGAAGGAGTTCTTCTCGGACACTGCACCATGCTGGTTCCACACTAATGAAGAAAACAACAGAAGTCAGAATCTGGAGTTTTTAGAGCACATCATGCTATAGCCATACAGGGCAAACCTGCCAGCAGTCAGTACATTCAGTTCTGAATGTACACACTGTGGTTGGTGTTAGTTTGATATTTTACTCACCGGCTTCACGGTTCCAGATTCTTCCGCAGTAGGACGGGTAGTCTAGCGGTGGGAGATTGAAAGGATGGCCTTTGTATCTAAGAGGAAATCAATAATAATTCAGAGTGAATTGCTTTGGGACTTTAATCATTTGCTGAAGTTTTGATAAAGATAATTGCCTTGTTTTCTGGATGTGAGTTCACCTCTGGAATTATATACAACTGACGCAGACCTACCTGCTGACCAGCTTTATGAGTCCTGCAAAATCTATCAACTGTGTCTAAAACTGAACTCAACCGGAACTGAAAGACAAAGCTGAGTATGATTTATTATTTATTTATTATTCAGTTTTTCTCAATTCTTACACTCTGACAACTGAATCTGCCACAGAGAACAGTATGTGTTCCCCACACACACACACACACACACACACACACACACACACACACACACACACACACACAGAGCTCCCTTATTTAGTGTTTGAACTCAAATTTGACAACATGGCTTGACACACTGACCATACTGATCACAGTGAGAGTTCAATTAGACAGGTTCCTGTAAAGTTGGTAGGAAATGTGGACACAAGCCTAAAGTGTCCATACATGCTGATAGTGTACAGGATAGCCAGCTTACCGCTTGCTGATAAAGTACAGGCAGGAACTCTGGTTCCCTTGATGAAGCCGAATGAAAACTGCCGGCAAATTAACAAACACAATGTTATTATTTCAGACATTTTCATAAGCAGTAATTTATCAAGATTAAAGTGAAGCACTCATCTTCAATCTGTGACACTTCCAAATCCCTCATTTGTCCGCTGCCCTCTGAGGTTGGAAATGTAAAGAAGGATAACTAGTGGAGACGGTGTGCAGTGACCCAACTGCTGGGTAAAAAAACACCTCAGCAACTGGTTCAGACCTTTAATCCCAATGTTGAAATGTTGGGCAATGAAATGAGAGAGAGACACCAAAACTCCCCAACTCCCCAAACCCAGCAGCTAGAAAAAACAACCCAGCATTTTTAAGCTTCTATAATAATAATAATAATAATAATAATAATATTGATAATAATAATAATAATAATAATAATAATAATAAAACAAGTGTGACAAAGAACAATTGAAAGGAAACAATAAACAATATTGAGCGTTTGTGTTGACGTTAGCTGTCCTAGTTGATCAGCAATCACTTCCACATAAAAACCACTTTGGACAGAATTCTCCTCAGCCTGATTGGCCAGTGTTAGAATGTCAGTAGCATTGGTTGCTATTAGCTCTGCTCCAGTACCACCAAGGGTTAGACTCGTTACTTCCTGTTAAAGAGGCCCGCACTAAAAAGTTCCTCCCAAAATCCCACCCACTGTGTTTGATTGACAGGAAGCCTTGCTGACAGTGAAGATGCAATTGCAAACAGGGTTTCAAATACACTGTACACCACCATCACTGTGATATTTCATCATCAACATTAACACACGAAGGTGATCAGAGGGGCGGTGGAGATCGAGTCTGCAGCGTCTGAGATCTTTAAAACGCAGAGTTAGAAAAGAAAATCATCTCACAGTGAAAGCAGCGTTTTACAGTAGAAATAAATGGAGCTCATTATGCTGGTAGTGAACTATGCTGCTGACACAGCTGCCTAAAAACCATAGAAACGGACCTTAAACAGAAGTGAGGACCCTGTTGGGGTTCATCCTAAAGTTAGGACAGGATTTAGGAGGTTTAGTCTAGTTAGGATGTTTGTGTGATGCTGTTTTCTTATCTGGAGTTAATGATGAGATTATGAAGGTAGGAACTGTTATTCTGGAATAGCTACTGAACTAAATTCAGTCTGTACTGAAGTCGTCATGGAAACTAAACAGATCAGATTTCAGGGTTAAGAAGTTTCTGTAATACGGACCCAGTTTCTATTTTAGGAGCACATGCAGAATTCCAGAAATTCTGATATTTTGAATATATTAGAAGTCAGGGAGTTGAATTTAAGTTTGAGTTTGTTGAATATTTTCAAGAAACCATGAGACAGAACGCAAATGAAACTTATTTTATTTCTTTATTTTTATGATCATATTAGATTTAACAGCATCTGTATTGGAAAAAGAACCCACCACCTTTAATATAATCATTTGTAAGTGATATACTAGATTGACTCTTGTGTGTTTTCTTATTGTCTTTTCTATCCATTACCTATTTTCCCTTAAAGCCCCTGCTCTCTTCTTTTGTTAGATGTTTACATTTTATAATTTTCAATATTGAGCATGCACAGTTCAAGAAAGGAGTGTCTAAGGACAGGACTGTTAGACAAAAACTGATTTCAAGTGATAATCAGATTGTAGAAACTGTTCATTTAAAAGACAGTGACTCAAAGTGAAGTAACCACATCCCTTTCAGAAAAGAAGTGAAAGTAAAAGTAAAAAAGAATCACTTTATGTGCTAAGTCAGCACGTGCTGATTATGCAGTAAAGATCAGATACATTATGATTCAAAAATGAAAAAATAAAAAGTTTAGAGGTCTAAAGACTCCTCTGGCCAGATGACCACTCTAAAGGTCAACACTGTTATCCACATGTGTTGGTAGCAAGTAAAGGTAGGGAGGTTTAAGGCCTTCATTCCTGCTCTTTATGTTCTCTTCAAACTTCTGGAGATCTTTTTGAAAGTCTTTAATGTGTCTGCGCGCCTCATCATCGCCGAACAGCTCCTCTGTGTACTGTCCAAGCTGCCGCTGAAAGAATACAAGAAAAACAGAATGTTCACTCCTCACTTTACTGAAGAAGGTTCTGTTATCTTGGCATCAGTGTGTTGTAAATCTGTTCATTCTTTATGTGTGGGCATCACTGATGGTCAGTGATGAGCACGTCTGGATTAACCAGTTCTGTGGCTCTAGATGGTGATAAATTTAAGTCCCCACCATCAAGAAGATCTAATATAGAGCCAGGGTTGGGGGGGGTACTTTAAAAATATATTCCAGTACGCATTACTTGTTACCTGTTGAAATATGTAATCTGTAACCTAATCCAAAACAGTAATATAATCTGATTACTTCTGATCACAGTGAAGTGTGTACATGCTACTCTTAGTCATAAATGTATAGTAAAATTCATACATTAGCACTAATGATCTTCACTACTACTAGCTGGTAGTGTGTAGTAAAGAGTAAATAGTGGTAAATATGTGAAGATAGCTCTGAGGACAGTGAGGCAGCTGAATATGTGGAGGTAGAGGATATTGGTGAGTAAATATCCTGTGGGGGCAGTCATGGGCTGGGGGCAGTCGTGGGCTGGGGGCAGTCATAGGCTGGAGGTTAGGGGACCAGCCGGTTTGATCCCCTGAGCTGACAGTATGTGACTGAAGTGCCCTAAAGCAAGGCACCTAACTCTCAACTGCTCCACGAGCGCTGTGGATAGGGCTGCCCACTGCTCCGGGCAAGTGTGCTCACTGCCCCCCTATGTGGTGCTCCACTGCATGGATGGGTTAAATGCAGAGGTGAAATTTCCTTCGTTTTGGGACTAATAAGGTCACTTAATGTTTAAAGCGCTGTATTTCACATGAGACTGGACAGTGGAAGAATATGCAATGATTTATTACTGGTATAATTAATGACACATAAGTACTAGTTTTTTATATGAGTAAACATCATTATCTGTTCATTAGCAGTGTAATAAGCAGGAGTCAGTGCACAATTAGTAAGTAATTAAGCTATGAACTTATACCAAGCTAAATTAACAGTTAACAGTGTACTCAATTACTAATTGCTGAGTACTTAATCAGTCACTAAGTAATTAATTAACACTTAATTAACCCCTTAAAATCACAGTCCTATTACATACTAAGGCTTATTAACCAGTAACTACAGGGACTTCAGTGCAAACTGGCTGAGCTATTCTTAGATTATAGAAGGGTGTAATAAAACTCTGGGCCTGCCGGCGAGGCCATTGCCATGTAAGGGGTTAAAATAATAATAATTCATCTTCAAATTGCAACCTTTAATGTTTGTTCCCATTGCATAAAAACAATTAATAATAATTATCCGTAAATATGTGGTAATGTCTAAACCCTGTTTTAAATGATGAAGTAGTAAACTTTTACTTTTTCAATGCTTAATAAATCACTATTAAGTGCTTATTATGTACTTTCTCAAAGATTTAAAATAATTAATTGGAACCCTATTATAAAGGTGTGACTTCATAATGTATTTATAAAGATGCCTAAAAATAATACACTCATGAAGACTGTTTGTAAAACAATATGCTTTGATTTTGTGTGTCACTAAGTAAACTGTTAATATAATTCAAACAGTAGCACTTATTAATCCATAATTATATATATATATCTAATTAACAAACGATTAGAAAATGATTATTCATTTAAGCTGCTATTATTTAATAGTAATGGAGCGTCATTAATGTTTCATGTACATGTAGATCCTGTAAAGCTTTTCCAGCTATTTTATTCCCCATTTCTCCTTCTCTCTATGCTGTGTCCTGTATTGAGACTCACGCGGTCAGAGGATTTCTTGCTCAGAAGGTTCAGAACAGCCAGTATGTGAACTGTGGTGTTGACATCAGGTAAAGTGTCAAAAATGGTCTTCTTTGTGGCTTCTCCCTTCTTTGTGGGTGGAGGGAGTCTGAGGGAGCTGGGAAAGTTGGGCATCCAGCCACCGAAGTTAAACTGGAACAGCAGAGGCAGAACTGGGATCAGCTTATATAGTTTATTTCCAAGGTGGGAACAAGTCTCGAGTAAGCCAGTACCGAGTAAGCCTACAGGCCATGACACCATTCAGCTTCATATGAAAAACTGTATGATTAAAGATGATCATTTCTGATCATTGTTGGGAGCACTGGGAGAACAGGATTAAAATAAAAACTAGCTCGACATTAAAACTCCCTCAGTGAACTAAACACAAACTCCCTGTATAACATACTGAAAACAGCCAAACAAATATTTCTAGCATCACTTGTACAGTTTCTCTCTTTTTTTTCACTACTGCATGAAAGTATATTACCTTTGGGAACCAGGTGAAAAAAAACTTTAATTAATTTAACTACAATTAGCATGTTATACCAACTTTGACCCACAGGGGCTTTGACCCTTCATTGAGTGTGTATACATGCATTTAATAATCTGATAACTGCAGAAAATCAGATTTTGACAGTAATCTGATCAGCACATTTACATGCGCTTGAGTAATCAGATAATGTGAAACTCCAGATCGACATGAGTCAGACAGTAATCAGATTTCTGCCTTACAACCAGCCAATAAATTCACAGATGAAGACACGACATAAACGCAATGTAAAACTCAAATTTCATACTGTGTTTTTTAAAACATCACACCACTTTAGCTGAAAATATGAACATACATCATCTAGAAGATGAAGAATATTTACAGGCACTGAGAAATCTGATTACTGAGCTAAAATCGCACTCTCTTTATCAGATTTCTTAATCGGATTTCTAGATCAGAGTATGGTGTTTACATGACCATTCAAATAACCGGATAACTGCAGAAATCTGATTATGATCAGATTAATGAATGCACGTAAGCACACTCATTGATCAGGTGAAAAAAATGACTTAGCATTAGCATGCTAATTGTTAGCCACTTCAGTCCTCAGTATTTTTTTTCACCAGGGTCCTAAAAAAACGCTCCTACAGGTCAAAACCAGTGTAACATGATACGTTTTATTATTTTAGTATTAATATTAGACTTTTTTTCATACATTACCCATCTGGCTCACCTCAGAAATGGAAAAGAAAGTGAGGAAGAAGTAAAACTTTCATTTTTTATCTTACGCTTCAGAGCTTCGTCAAATTTGTCATATGACTCGAGTCCACACCTTATATAATATGAACTTCAGACAAAACTGGTTCACCTGGCCGTTGTTGAGTGCAGCATGTTGGGCAGACACTGTGAAGATCACCATGGTGACAAACTTGATAAGGTCGTCCACTTTCCGGAAAGACTGAGGAATTCCTGATGTGAGAAATTTTGGCAGAAATTGAAACTTTTAAAGTTCTAAACTAAGAAAAACACCAAATTCACATTTAAAGAAAAACACAGTTGTGCTGCAGGTTTGCAGTAACAACACTGCCAGAAGAAGAGACCGCACCAGTCCTGTCATTTCCCTGGAATCCAAACTGAAATATGTCTTTAATCCAGTCCTGCAATTCGCTGTCTTCTTTGACGTCCTCATCTTCTCTATAGTAACATCTCAGCAGTCCTCCCACAAACCTGAAAGATATTAAGTTATTCTGTCAGACAACTGATATTTACACACATTAGGCATATTTACAAATCACCTAAACAAAGTGGGTTTTCACAATTCCCATCATACACTGTTCATACACTATTTTTTACTGGAATTTCAGAATTTTTAACAAAGCAACATTCTGTATTCATACCTTTATTGTACAATCAACTCAATCAACAAGATATTTAGATATATTAAGATATATTTGTAATAACACAGCAAATTACCGTGACGTTAACACTCAGGATATGAAAGTTAAAACGGTATGAGCTTTTTAATAAAAACAAAGGGAGCACGACGCTCCCCACTAGCTGGAACTCCCTCCGTCCTATATAATGTGCTCTGTAAGTATGTCAGTGGGGGCAAAGGGACGTATAACACAGTTAGCTTGGTGTTAAATAAGACTGGAAATCATTTTTTACCCATTATACTCTGCTATATTATGGAATGTTCACTATTATATGACAAAAAAGTTTAAAATTTTAAATATTTTAAGATAATGCAATAACTGAATTAGCATTCTTGTTCTCCATGTTGCTTGGCAACAATAACATACTCTAAATGAGCTACACTTCTTGGTGGAATACTTGTTAATACTTTGTTTACTATTGATATTAACAATACATCATTTTTTGAAAGATGGTGTATTTCATGATATGTGATATATGCAGTCCATTATTTTATAAAAGCGATAAGTCACTTTATGTTGCACATTACAGTGATTTTAGCACAGGTAAGGGTGTTTAACGTTGCGTCATGACATGTCTACAGTAATAACACCCCTTAAAACTGACTTATTAGCCAAAAAAAGTCAAGCAGTGCAATGGACATTATTTTAGCTGTTGAATTTGTGATAAATGATTAAAGGGGAAAAAACTCATGTTACTGTACTTGAAGATGATGTTCCAGAGACCCAGCCCATCAACTTTGTAGTAGTAGTTGGGGATGTCCTCCAGACCTCTCTCCTTGATGTTGTCCGGCAGGCAGAGAGAGCTGTAGGTCAGGGAGGACATTGCCTCAGTCAGAAACCTCTGGATCTCATCGTCATGACCAATAGAAGTGAACTGGGAGATAAAAACAAACACAAAAAATCATCACTTCAAAGTAAAAAGTTCAGACCTTGACAGTCTCTGTTAATCTTAAAACATCATTCCTTTACATTTGAGTCACTAATAAATGTGTGTACCTGGGCGAAAATCCCATTTTTTGAGATCAGCGTGTTCCGGGCCATGATGTTGATGTGGAGTGTGTAGCGGGTGTGGGGCATGAGTAGCTGAAAAAATGACAACCATATTAATATTAAAATAATACCTACATTAAAACTACAATAAAATATAATAAAAAAAAAACATTTACTGCAATTTAAATCAAACAAGTGTTTCAAAATGATTCAATGTTTTAATTTAAAAATGTTAGCCTGGTTTATCTTACAATTTTGAGCTCGTTGAACTGTATATTCTGATAATTACAATGAACTCAAAATTTTAGGCAACAATATTATTAACGTTTTTATAACAGTGCATCATTTGTTACAGTCTACAAAATAAGTGGGCATGATTGACTACTATATAAAAAATATGAAAGTAAATGTATATATATATATATATATATATATATATCCTTTTTTCCACCACAGATCAACTAATTAACCCCATCATAATCATCTCATGATGACTTATTGCATCTTTTGTCCATTCATCCAGAAGAGCATTTGTGAGGTCAGACACTGATGTTGGACGAGAGGGTCTGGCTCACAATTTCCGTTCTAGTTCATCCCAAAGGTGTTTGATGGGGTTGAGGTCAGGGCTCTGTGTGGAGCATTAAGATTTCCCTTCACTGGAACTAAGGGTTCTAGACCAACCCCTGAAAAACAGCCCCATATCATCATCCCTCCTCCACCAAACTCTACAGCTGGCACAGTGCAGTCAGGCAGGTAATGTTCTCCTGGCATGGAGAACGGAAACCCTGCCATGAAGCTCCTGGAGCAGTTTCTGTGCTGATGTTGAGGCCAGAGGAGGTTTGAACTCTGCAGTTATTGATCAGCAGAGTGTTGGTGTCTTTTATGCTCTGTGCTCCTCAGAGCTCGGAGACCCGCTCTGTAACTTTACATGGTCTGACTCTTCATGTCTGAGTTGCTGTGATTCCTAAACGCCTCCACTTTTCAATAATAACACTCACAGCAGATCGTGAAAAATCTAGGAGGGAAGAAACTTCACAAACTGACTTGTTATAATGGTCCTATTTCCTATCCTATTACAGCACCACGCTGGAATTCACTGAGCTCTTTAGACCCATTCTTTCACTAATGTGTGTAAAGTCAGGCTGCATGGCTGGGGGGTTGATTTTATACACCTGGTAATAAGACTGAATGAAACACCTGAATTCAATGATTAAGATGTGTGTTCCAACACTTTTGTCCATATAGTTTATGCAGATGATACTCAGATCTATTTGGCCCTCTCCCCAAACAGCTAAGGTCCTCTTGTCTCACTTTGTACGAGCCTTGAGCTCATCGCTAACAGCTTTGCCTGAGACGAATGCAGTGGAGCGAGTGCTTAGCATGGACCGGACTTCACAGTTCATCCAAGGTTTCCGGTTGAGATGTGTCCTCCAGCGTTTTGTGGGAACAATGATCTCAGTGCATGTGCTAATATAGCCAGTTACTCCAGAAGCATAGTCCTCTAAATCAACATCAAGAGCCCTTTCTCAAAGCCGCAGTTGTAAACACATTCCAGTTTGTACTTTCAAAGCAGTCCAGTCGATTTCTTCATTCCTCACTTTAACAGTTTTACTTACTGGGGGAGCTTGCTTGAGGAGTTGTCTGTATGATGGATAAAGGAATATGGAGATATGGTCGTACTGTCCAAAGTGCAGCTGGGGCACAGCCTTGTAGGCGCCCCTCATGTTGCTGTAGACTTGGTCAAGCATGTTACTCACCCTTCTCGGAAAGCTCACGTGCTGATGGTACTTGGGGACGACAGCCCATAAGTTGCAGTGGTTGAAATCGAAGATTACAATGAACATGGCACCTGGGTGTGCAGTCTCTTGTTTGCTGATCATGTCATGCAGCTGCCCCAACACCATCTTGGGGTATGCTCATGGTGGAACTGTACATTTAAGGTCAATGCTAAAGCTAAAATAAATAATAAATAGTGTTCGTGTCGAGAGGACAGTGCAAATCTGCCATGATAGGCGCCATCTTGACATTACAAACAGGAGACGTCAGTAGGTCAGTTAAGCATATTTTGTTGCATTTATTATTATATTTACTAAATATTACAGCATAACAAAAGAAAAAGTAAAGCAAAAATATAGTCCTCTTAATTAAACTGTATTCCTTCAGAATGATTTTTAACATTTTTCTCAACTCAAAATGATACAGTAACTGATTACTTTGCTTTTCTTGAGTTGACTCAGCTTGAGGACACCAGAGTTCACACAACTCAAACTTCTTAGTTGAATCAAAAATTCTCTTAATTGTTTAGTTCTGCATCTCAGATAGGTAAATAAAATGAACTTGTTTTTTGATACTCAACTCCCCCAATAGCCAGGACTCTTTCCATCACACAATCCTGATAGACATTTTTCCTCTTGGATACTTACGGATGGCTACGGCATCACTCGGCTCAAAGAGAAAATATTTGTTGTTTTAACTTTAAAGCATCTCATGTGGTGCAACTGTCTAGGAATTCAGCCCAATCAGGAGATTATGAGTTTGAGTCCCAGCAAAACCTCAGCTGTCCATATCCAGAAGCCCAAGAGGAAAATATGGCAGATGGGACTGTGTGATAGGAGGACTGTCAGCTAGTGGAGAAACTGAGCGAAAAGAAAAGATGCAGCACTAGAAACAGTAGTTGGGAAATTTGGCTCAACTGTGAACTCTTGTTTCCTCAAGTTGAATCAACCCAAGAAAAGCCATGTAATCAGTTACTGAATCATTTTGAGTTGAGCTGACCTTTCATTTTTAAAAGTGTAGGAAATAAAAAAGGTCAGGGAGATGCTCACCTTAAACAGTGGATGGGCTGAAGGCAGGTTGCGCAGTGTTGCAACAGAGAAAACCTCAGCCAGCATATGTGTGCGCAGCAGGTGAAAGTTCAATTCATGCTCAATGAACTCTGCATGCCTCACAAAGATCTTTGCCAACAGCCAGTCCCACTCAGAGTCACTGGGAAGAAAGATGGGATGCACCTTGCTGGGTTCCTGGTACAACTGTAAGAAATCAAGCATGTTTCCAAAGAGATTCTATAAAGGGGTGGTATGCAAGATACAGGCCAAAACTAATTTCAAACTAAAATGAATTTCACAGGAGAATTACCACTCATTTAGTCATTTAGCAGTTGGACCTCATTCAGAAAACATTCTTTTTTACACTCCTTTTTGTCATTAAACAGTTTATCTTAAAATGATTCCATGCAGAAAACAGTCTGAATTTGACAGGACAGGTTCCAACCTGACATCCAAACTTTAGCACTGCAGGCCTTAGAGTTGCACTGATTTCTGGTATCCTTCCATTGCCATAGCAACAATCTACAGTTAAAGATTATGTAAATTCGCTGAATTTAAATAAAATTATAATAAATCAATTTTGTGTTTTGTTCAGGCAAGAATCAAAGTCATCTTACTGCAAAAAGACTGCGTGACAAATTCTGTATTTCTGTATTTACTTGCTTATTTTGTTGATTCTTAGGGCTTTAAAATACCCAGACGTTTCACATACTGACAAAAATTGCTGTTTGTCCTTCCTGAGAAGAATGATGCATGTAAATGGCTGCCTTGTGCTCAAAAAGCAGTCTGGGAACTGTTAAGTTGGGACTAAAATTCTCAGGGAAGAGAATCTTCAGCAGGATGTGTGGATCCTTTGGAAGATGGCAATGATCCATTTGCTTCCCGAGAGCCAGGAACAGCACAGCGTTTTCCCAACATCTTCCACTCCAGTAACTCTGCTACAGACTGTCTGTAAGAACGACGCTCTGAATGCGCTGTGTTCATGGTACTGACATAACAACCATGATGGATTCAGAAAAGTGGACTGGAGAGCAAACGGTATGTTTTTAAACTGTTTTTAAGCCAAAATCTCACCTGCAAGTCTTTAAAATCTGCCAACAGAAACATTTTCACAATGTTCATAGAAAAAGGTTTCCGTGTGCTACTGTGTTTCCTATCATATGGATATCTTTGAAGAAGCATAGAAAGCCACATCGCTATAGAAACACTAATTACTTGTTTGTTTAACCAGAGTAATAATAAAAATGACTGAAGCATGAAGCAAATTTCTATTTAGAGTGGAGGAGGTCAGCTTTGTTAGCTCATGTTCTTTACAACATGCAACAGCACTGACAAATCACTGCACTGAGTAGACTAAATGGCAGAAACAGAAGCTTTTTTGACTTTAAAGGGTTAAAGGATGGCTAAAGGCTTCTCCACTGAGTTTACACGAGTTCTGTAGGTGTACTAATAGATATAGACTTACCTGGATTGCGATTGGAATTAGCTTTCTGTCACGGGTGCTAAAGAGCAGGCAGAGAGGAGCGGCCAGATACTGCTGTTTCTTCTTGATCACATTTCCCACAATGCTGCTCAGCCTTTTATAGTCACAGAGGAAGATGTTTCCTTTCTGATAGAACAGAAAATAGAAACTAGAATCTCAGCATCCCTACGAAAACACTAGTAAGATGTATGCATTTGGTTTTGCACTCTACCTGCATTTCACTCTGTAAATCACTTCCTGGGAAGAAAGAATTGACCATTTCATTCTTGACCTGGAAGTTTTCAGGCAGCTCGGAGCATTGCTCAATCATCATGGGGTTCATTCCATTTAGCAACTGGTAGCCAAAGAATTCATCACTTTTCCAATGGTCCTGGACATAAACTACGGGAGCAAACACGTGAGAACATGCCAACATAGCACCACATCCATTAGTTCAGATGCATTTCTCATTGTTGAGAAAAATACCATTGTCTTCTGGGTAATTGAAGAGTGAAGAAAGTTCTTCTTCATCTTGCCATGAATGTGACCAGTGGAAGGAGGTTTCAATCTTCAACTGGGCCAATCTGTGATGCCAAATATTAGAACGTTTCACATGGGATTCATTAATATCCTCAGATTATGGATTATTGAATCATGCAGAACTTACGCTTTTTCATAACTGTAATCCATTCTCATTCCCTTGGTGAAAGAGAACTTGACCTCATTAGGCAAATCAGATGCACTGGCAGCGTCAATAACCCAAGGTAACCCAGGGTAATACTCCTTCCATCTGCAGGACACACAGTAAATACAAATAAACTGGTTCCTATACACAGATTATGAATTGGGTCTCACTGAGGAGAGTCACAGCACAGTGTGAACTGGACTGAAGTCTATAAAAACATGGTAATGCTTTCTTTTTCAGACTCATAAGTTCTATTTCTTAACCAAGTACATGTAAGAGAACTCCAGATTACTAGATAATTATTTTAGGTAACGTGGTGAGTTTAAATAATGAAATCAGATTGTTTTTTCTTTTTAAAGCCGGAGTGTGAAAAGCTGCAAACGGAGTTCTGGCTCAGTTCAACAGGTTTAGATACATATTCACAGTGTTTAGTTTCATTTGAAAAGACCACTAAGCAAATACAGCGAGGAGGTGAGTAATGCAAGCAGTTCTCATGCAAGTGAAGCCCAGTGCTGCTACTCACTGCTGCATTTTCTTTATTTCGGTTTATACTTGGTGTGCTCGGTTTTCTCAGTCTAAGATACGGTGGTTGCTGCATTTGTAGACGGCTCAGCCTCAGGATCTTTCCTTTTGAAAGACCCTGATTTTAACCATTTATCCATGATAGATATTTGGTGATGGACAGGAGGTGGTTAGAGGCTACAAATTTAAAGTGTTCTGAATTTGTAAATAACTGAGGGTAAAATTCAGCTTTAGCTTTCCTGCTATAGGAATTTATATATACTTATTTATATCTTGCACTAAGAAAGAAAGATATTTCAGAGTTGAACCAGGGATTTGATGGTCCAACGCTAAGTTATATCATATCTGGGATTTCAGAAGCGTAATTAACATCTTGGAGCGCCAGGTCATCTAAAAAGCCTCGGTCATTAAAATGTGTACAATTTCTTCTAACCACCGTCTGAGAGCGCGACTTTTTTATGTTAATGTTTCTAATGCAACCGAGAAGTAGTTTTGTCAGATCTGTCGGATAGTGAAATCAGTTAGTGTTAACTTGGAGGGGTCAGGCAAGGTTGGTCATGTTTTTTCTATAATTAGCTGCATTAGAGATCAATTTCCACATTTCTTTCAAGGATGGGATGTATTAGTTAACCAGTTCAGACTAAAATCACCTAAAATCAGCATTTCTGAGTTGATGTATGGATTTAAAAGTTCAGCTATTTCACTGACAGCATACAGCGCTACTACAGAACTGTTACTGCGCCCTGCTCACATTTAAGGTAAAATACTCAAAACATTTTTCTTTGGATAATGCATTAAAAGTTTTTGCCTGCATAGTAGATTTAATGTAAATAGTTGCTCCACCATCCCTGGCTTTCCTTTCAACTCTGTACAGATTAACATCAGATAGGGCTACTTCTCATCTCTTAGTAAGTTTGTAGCAAACAGGTTTCCAGGTCTGTGAGACAGTTTGGGGCGGAGGGGTGACCAGAATGGCTTATTGCTAATGAGATCTGCTGGATTAATAATAAAGTTAAAACTACATTTCCGCTTGATGCACGTATCTGTGTAGCTGATGCCAGGTTGATTGCAGGTGAACAGGGATAGCTATGTACTCATTTCTAGTTTCAGGTAGTTATTTTGTAAAAATAAAAATTGTACTGATAAAACTCCGATACCAGAGAACACAGGAGGATTTTCTTACTGTTGATGCTCTTTTGATGCTGCTTTCTTTCTAATTTACTTTTCCTACAGATTTCATTATCTTATGCATGCAAATGTTAAACAAAGGAATCCTTTACACAAGTATTGAACATTGTATTCACTTTTATATTTGTAGGGATTATTTTTAGGTTTAGTGTAGAATTTATTCTTTTTTTTTTTATTTGTTTGTTTGTTTGTTTGTTTTTTGTATTGTTGTGATATGTGACATTACATTTACTTACTTGAAGTTCTGGCGCCGCTCATTGAGCTCCTCTTGTCTTTGGGTAAGGAGTTCAATGTGAGAATCCTGGCTTTTAAGTGTAGCTACACAAAACAAAAACTGTGACTGTGAGACGGTGATTAATCCAGGTTTAATTACTCAGAATGTAATTTAACAAGACTCGATATTCATGCTGTGGTTAATCCAGGATTAGATACTCTGACTGTGACTAAACCAGGTTTAGATACTCAGACTGTGATTAATCCAGGTTTAGGTAGTCAGACGGTGATTAATCCAGATTTAGATACTCAGACTGTGAATAATCCAGGTTTAGATACTTAGACTGTGATTAATCCAGGTTTAGGTAGTCAGACTGTGATTAATCCAGGTTTAGATACTCAGACTGTGATTAATCCAGGTTTAGATACTCAGACTGTGATTAATCCAGGTTTAGGTAGTCAGACTGTGATTAATCCAGGTTTAGATACTCAGACTGTGATTAATCCAGGTTTAGGTAGTCAGACGGTGATTAATCCAGATTTAAATACTCAGACTGTGAATAATCCAGGTTTAGATACTTAGACTGTGATTAATCCAGGTTTAGGTAGTCAGACTGTGATTAATCCAGGTTTAGATACTCAGACTGTGATTAATCCAGGCTTAGATACTCAGACTGTGATTAATCCAGGTTTAGATACTCAGACTGTGATTAATCCAGGTTTAGATACTCAGACTGTGATTAATCCAGGTTTAGGTAGTCAGACGGTGATTAATCCAGATTTAAATACTCAGACTGTGAATAATCCAGGTTTAGATACTTAGACTGTGATTAATCCAGGTTTAGGTAGTCAGACTGTGATTAATCCAGGTTTAGATACTCAGACTGTGATTAATCCAGGTTTAGGTAGTCAGACTGTGATTAATCCAGGTTTAGATACTCAGACTGTGATTAATCCAGGTTTAGATACTCAGACTGTGATTAATCCAGGTTTAGGTAGTCAGACGGTGATTAATCCAGATTTAAATACTCAGACTGTGATTAATCCAGGTTTAGGTAGTCAGACGGTGATTAATCCAGATTTAGATACTCAGACTGTGAATAATCCAGGTTTAGATACTTAGACTGTGATTAATCCAGGTTTAGGTAGTCAGACTGTGATTAATCCAGGTTAAGGTAGTCAGACTGTGATTAATCCAGGTTTAGATACTCAGACTGTGATTAATCCAGGTTTAGGTAGTCAGACTGTGAATAATCCAGGTTTAGATACTCAGACTGTGATTAATCCAGGTTTAGATACTCAGACTGTGATTAATCCAGGTTTAGATACTTAGAATGTGATTAATATTTAAACATACTTGGACTAATTAGTCTTGGACTAATCATGAGTACCTCCTCTGATTAATTTTTTTACCTGTTTTCTGGTTCTGTCTAGCTAATGGAGGATCAATGATTGCGACTATGTGTATTAATTTCTGTGATAAAGCTGCAAATTTGAAATCTGACTCACCTTTGTCATCCCTTAGATACACAACGGGCTTTCTGCTGTCCAGCCACTGGTAACACGGGAAGTAGATTTTCTCTCCTTCGGGTGTGGTGACCAACAGTCTCTCACAGTACCATTCATTATTGATGACTATACATGGTCTGGCCTCCAATTCAGCTATTAGAAGAGTACCAAGACTTTCTTTGCAGGATATGGTGATTGTGTTTTCCTGTTGGCACAAAATAGCTTCCATCTTAATTATGAACTTTACTGACATAGCTGCCTTTAAAAACCTGATGGCATAGTAAATGCAAACTCAACAAGCATGCAAGTATTAGAGGGCAGGCAATAATAAGAAGGACCTGGAGGATAAACTAATGTTATAAGTCTATCAAAGATCTTCAGAAAACAATTTTCAGAATTAGACATGATGGACCAGCTACTGAGTTAAATACGCTAAATGATAGCTATGCAAAGGCCATACGAATGACTGTCTTTTGCTGTGTCTCAACAACAAATCAGTGGTGCAGAATTAAAAAGACAGTCTGGGTTCCATTCCTCACTGCTCAATGTCATCATTTGCTGTTCTATTTTGTTTTCAAGTTGTCAGGTCTACTTTAACAAATTCTATTCCTTTGATAATCTTATTTTTATGTGCCTTTTCACACTCTCAGCTGAACTGTTCAGAAACTGTAGGAGCTCAAAATAGAGTTTACATTGTCATATAGTGACAAATAAGTGTAGGAGACATGTAAATATTACTAATCTTGCTGAGATATTTTTTTAATTATTCACTTAAAATCAAAATGTGTTAAGTTGCGATCAGAACACCATACGCTGCATCCTTCTCTAAAAGCTCCCTCACAGAAAGTTCCTACATGAAATGGTTATGAATTCACTGCCTGATGACTGAGACACTGTTTTATGATAGTTTAGAGAACTTAAACTCCATTCATGGTGGAGGGATACATGCAGGGCGCTGTGAGGCAAAATAGTCCCCAAAGAAAACTTATTATTTCAGAAACTGCTCAATAATACAAAGTATGTAGCGAATTTGCTGTATAATAATAATAATAATAATAATAATAATAATAATACATATTCAATAACAATAAAAATGATAATCATTCATAAAAATATTCCTTTCATCAATATTTAATTTGATACTTAATTAACAGTTTATCAAGAAAACCAGGTAATCACAGTGCCTAATTCCAAGTGGCTAAAGACATTTTTTTAAACATTGTTTTTTCATGAATGCATTGTTTTTACATACTTTCATTCATTTATTCATTCATTCATTTATTTATTTATTTATTTATTTATTTATTTATTTATTTGTTTGTTTGTTCTTCTTTCATATATGAATTAATTTTGTTACTTTTTATTTTGATTATAACAATAGTTTACATTATTTACAATAGAATTATCGTGTATTTATTTTATAATGATCAGTATTATAATACATTTTACACAAACAACTGATGATGGAGGAAGTAGTAACTAAAATTCATTATGTGGTGAAAGCGCACTGTGTCTTGCTGAAGGGTTGTGATGATTTATGTTCTTTTAATATGTTGGGCAGCTCCTATAACCAGTTCAGTTATTTGCACTGCGGCTTTAGATCTGCATCAATCAGCGCATTCCCATAATCCACCGCAGGAGAAGCTGATCAGGAGGTGGATCTGTAATATGTAGGTCCTCATTTACAGGTGCATTTTTATTGGCCCTTGTTGAGGACACAGGTGAAAATACCACAGTGTGAAAAAGACACAGACAGGCTAATCACTGCCATGGTGACTCTGATTATCTCTTATTTCCCATGCTGCACATTTTTATGCATGTTTTGGTCCACAGTGCGCCAACTTGAACAAACAGCCATTTTTATTGCTCGTATGTTTATTACTACTCCTAAACTTCACGGCAGGCAGGCTTTTTGGGGTCATGTTTTGTTTCTTCATGCCCCCAGACCCCTTTAATAAAAAGTAAAGGCTTAGCACCCTATGAATAAACCTCTATTGACACGCTGACAAATAGTAAAAGGCACGGGTACAATGTCCAGAACAGATTAGGAGTTCTTGTAGCAATGATGTTTACATATTTGTGTGTAATTAAAAGTGTAAGTCAAAGAGGATTTTAAGTGACTTACCCAAAAGAGTGGAAGCCTCTGGGGTTTGCTTTGACAGACTGTACCGATAAGCATGATGTAGACAGGCTCATCTCCTTTTTGACCAAGGACCTCGACTGTGTAATTCACCATGATCACGCTGCAACTACAGATTGATTGGTTTCATTCGTTTAATCATTGATTGGTTTTTATTTGTTCAATTATTTGTGTGAATTTGTGTAAATAGCAATAAAGGAAATACATAGGCAAAACATATTGAATGCATATTTCTATAATTATAAAACATTAGATTAGATAATTTTTTTTCTGTCCATTTTCTTGGACAACACACACACACACACCATCTAAACCGCTTATCCTTCTGGGTCGCAGTGAGGTGCTGGAGCCTATCCCTGCTGTCATTGGGAGGAAGGCAGGATACACCCTGGACAGGTTGCCAGTCCATCGCAGGGCAGACAGACAAATAGACATACACATAGGGGCAATTTAGCATGTCCATGGAAACTCATGGAAACCAGAGTACCCGGAGGAAACCCACGCAGACACGGGGAGAACATGCAAACTCCACACAGAAAGGACCCTGGTCGCCCCAGCTGGGAATCGAACCCAGGCCATTTTTCCTGTGAGGCGACAGCGCTACCCACTGTCACTGGGTCAGTTCTGCTCTTGTCACTGGGTTGGAACCCTCAAGGCTCCATCTCAGTACCTTTAGTCAGGGAACATAACTGAACCATAATCCACTGAAATGATATGTTCTAAGCTGTACTGACTCCACACACCCCGTCTCGCCTCCAGGCTTTTATTTTACTGTTCTGTTTAAAACATTCGGTTATGAAAAGGTACAAATACGAACTTTTCACCTGGAAACACTTATTTAAGGTTCACAATCAGACCTTAAAACCACTGTTGGAGCTTTGAGTGAACATTTACATCGTACAGGAAAAATGTACAGAACCTTTATTTCAGTACAGTCAGTATCTGGAGACGACTGGCTGAAAACTCCAGTAAATACATACGTAAATAAGTGAGAATTAATTTCAAACTAAACTAGTATTTCAGGATGGTTTGCAGTGAGTACACTCTAAAAAATGCTGAGTTTTATTTCTACCCAAATGCTGGGTTGAGTCTGTTGGGGTTGTTTCCACAGTGCTGGGTAGTTTTTAGCTGGTTTTTGGGAGCCCAGCTGCTGGGTTTGTGACTGTGTCACAATAACAACCCAGACAAAGGGCTCATTTTTAAACAGAGGTTAAATGGTTAATTGTCAGGCAGCAGCACTGAGACACAGCTAACAAGAACCAGTCAGTAAACCTTCATAAAACATGGACTTTTTACTACCTACTCTTCACTCAAACTAATAGAGATACATGTTTTATTTCAAGAAACCTCATTTTTTTAAGCTGTATTTGTCTAATTGTGATGTGAGACATAAATGTTTGCTTCCTTTGTGTTTTGCTGGAGGCTCATTGGTATCTGTAGCTCTTTATATGACATTTGTCAATATTCCTAGCTGAATATTAGGCAATTTTTAAGCAAACATTAACATTATCTGTGTAATAATTGTACTTTATGTGGCTAACAAAACCTACCAACTAAGTTACAAAGGCAAGGCAAGTTTATACAGCACCTTTCATACACTCCGGTCATTCAGAGTGCTTCACAGATGAGAAAATACAAAGATAATTCAAATTAAAAAAAATAAATAAAATAGAATATAAAATAAAAAATAATAAATAAATCAAATTTATCTGCATAGCCAACTAACCAAGCTAGCATTAGTAAACCAAACACACTTGTTTTGACAGGACTTCATATCACGGCTCTTCTCTCTGGCTCATTACTTTGCATGAGGTGTTTTTGAGTGTTAAATGTTTGTCGTGTCTTTTTTATTTTCTAAATTTTGTCATCTTTTCTTTTTACAATTTGGAACAAACATGCCAGGGCATCTGCAGCAAACTGAGAAGATGAATAAAGAACTGATTTCAGTTTTACAGTTTTTCATTATTGAGCAAAACCTTAATGATTTTATTTAGACTTTTTTAAGTAGACAATAATAACATAAAATATATTTAAAAAAATTAAAAACAAGCAAACAAAAAATATCAGACAGTAACCCAATGAAAGGGTGAAAATAAACCTAGTGCTGGGTCAAATTGGTCATATTTTAGGGTAGTCTAATGACCCTAATGGCCTATTGTGTTATTTAAATAATCCAGTGATGACGGTCAGATTAAATGTCAGTTTCCTACAAACATGTCCAATTTCCATAAGAATAAAATTCCAAATCTAGTAATTGAAAATTAAAATGACTTTACATTTCAAAATTAATTTAGTCCATTTTTGACTGTGCTGAAAAGTACATGTGACAAATGATTTGAACAGTAAGTATTCATATAAGTATTAAACTCACCTGATGCTGTGAGTCAGCAGTGAAACTTAGAGCCTGAGCAGGTGCACACCTCCACTGACAGGTCGCAGAGAACAGGAACTGAAGAAGCTCTGCAAGCTTAAGACAGCACTCAGGTCTGATTTATATACACCGTTTCAGGGGGATGTGGCCAAAATCACCCACATACAGTCAAGTCCAAAATTATTTGGACAGTGACACAATTTTTGTAATTTTGCCTCTGTACAAACCCAATATCACACGCTTCAGTGTCTATCAGCCGATTGCACTCACACCCATCATAATGAAGTGCTTTGAAAGACTGATCTTGACTTATGTCAAGAACTGCCTCCCTAGAACTCTGGATCTTCATCAGTTCGCCTACCGAAGATGTAATATCCCTGGCAATGCACAGTGCATTAAACCATCTGGAGAGCAACACTAACAAGAATGATATTCATTGATTTCAGGTCAGCATTTAACAAAATTATCCCCTCTAGACTGATTTCCACACTCGAGATCCTAGGAATCAGCCTCATAGTTCTGCAGCTGGATTCTAGATTTCCTCACAGGCAGAACTCAGTCTGTTAGGATGGGCAGCCACATGTTTCCCACCCTCACTCTCAGCACAGGCTGTGTCTTATCACCCGTGCTTTACACCCTGTACATCCATGATTACATCGCCAACACCATCATCGAGTTCGCTGATATGATGGTAGCAGGAGGAGGTGAGACTCCTCACAGAGTGGTGCACAGACAACAATCTCTCCCTCAGTGCAAACAAACAAATCACATCAAAGAGATGATTGTTGATTTGCAGAGCACGCACTTCTTCAAATGGTGGTAAGAGTGAACTGCTCTAAATTCCTGTTCTAAGTTCATTTAGCCGAGGATCTCACCTGGTCACTCAACACATCAGGCGTCATCAAAAAGGCCCAGCAACACCTTCATTTCCTGAGGAGGCTGAGGAAAGTCAACCTGCCTCATCAGCTCCTCTGCAGCTTCTACGGGTCCACAGCAGAGAAGATCCTGACCAGCTGCTTCACTGTCTGTATGGCAGCTCCACTGTGGAACGGAAGCCCCTGCGGTGACGCTTCATTCTGAGTGTCCTGTTTAGACATAAACACTCAGCAGACTATTAAGGGACATCAACAGCACCTCAGTGAGTAGACATTACAAAAGCCCCCAAAATAAATCTGGGGAAACAGCCTTCGTCCACTACGGACCCAAACTGTGGAACAAGTTGACTAAGAGTATTAGAGAGGCTCAGTGGACATTTTTAAACAACAACTTAAAACATTCCTTTTAAATCTAGTTTACATCTGAAAATATGCGTTTTTGTTCATTTATTTATTTTATTTATTCTTTCATTTTATTCTTCTTTATTTTATCCAATCTTTTAATTATGATTATTACTTTAAATGGTTTATTCTTTCATTTGCTTTTATTTCTTTTTTAAATGGCTTTATTGTTTTATTTATAAGACCCTCCCTGTTTATGCCTCTTGGATTGAGTGGCTGTCTACTACAAACCGTTATCATATCACAACTTGAAACTGGGTGATTTTCAAATAGCAAGAGCGGAGATTTTTAATTATTGCCTACATGATCAAAAATATCTTCTTTTAAAGGGCAAAATTAAAGAAATTACTAAAACAACAACAGAAATAAATAAACTGAAATAAAAAACCAATCAGACGTGGCCAGAGACTGCATATCGTGTCTTATTAATAGAAGATAATTCACATAACAAACTCACGTGACTAAAACATAATCTTTCTTTGAAGTTCAGCAAAAACCATCAGGAATCTGAGACGTCTTTTAAGAGTTCCACAGAACAGCTGATTAACATGCAGACACACCAACATCAACAACATTCAGAGGGACTGATTTGGGTTCTAAGGCTGATTGACACCAGATTAAAGTCTCTCAAAATACGATGGCGTTTAACTTGCTACCACTGACATCTGTGAAAAAAAGATGACTCTTTAGTTTAATCTATTAAATCTATTAATAATCTACTAAATATTTTCATTCACAAGACTATGTAAATATGTCAGTTGCATACAAATATTAATATCACTAAGACATTTAATTTACAGCATTAATTTATGTCTTTTTTCTTTAACCTGCGCCAGGATTGATTAGGCACAACAACTAATATTAACAACTGGAAAGGTGCATTTCCTAATGGAAATGATTGCACAGCTTAAGCTTGCTAATATGTTGCTAGGCAGTTGCCATCGAATCCCAATATATAAACACTCCAGATTAATTGCTTCTCTGTTAGCAGAACACTAGCCAGCAGACGTGTAGAAGATATGGCTGATGTGGAGAGAGAGAGGAAATGTGTAGAGAACTTTAATAACGACATTATTGGAGAAACATCTCTGTTTTTAACACTTTTTAATGTTACAAACTGTTTTCATTCTTCTTTTCTTTTCAGCAGCCGTAGTAGTAGCAGTAGGAGTAGTAGAAATGGCAGTAGTAGTAGCTGCAAATGTAGTAGTTGTAATAGCAGCAGCAGTACTAGTAGCAATTGTAGTAGAAGTAGTAGCAGTAGTAGTTGCAGTAGTAGGAGTAGTCGAAGTCGAAGTAGTAGTAGCAATTGTAGTCATAGTAGTAGTACCAGAAGCAGTAGTAGTAGCAGTAGAAGTATTGCAAGTGGCAGTATCAGCAACAATTGTAACAGTAGTAGTAGCAGCATCACCAATACTAGTAGCAGCAGTACTAGTAGTAGTAGTAGTAGA